GAATAAAAGCTTACTTTGATCCATTCGTTTCTATGGAAAGCAGCTATTGGTTGTTCTGAGGTGGCAATCAAGTACTTTTCATCGACTGTATTGTCACCAACTACTTCAGAGCCTTTTCCACAAACCTAGGGTATGCATATATCAGATAACGGTAAATAACGAAGCAAAGTTAACAATCATGCAGTTTAAAGCGTTTGATGATTGGGAAACTAACTTATGCTCTTACCTTATACAACTCTTCGTCAAACTGGCTTAGTTGTGCAACTTCTTGCATCACTTCTTTACGCATGAAGAATGGTGTATAGAGTGGAGTGAACCCCTTTTCTCCTAATCTAAACGAAATTCTTATTACTATGAGCACTGTCAGATACTTGTCAAACTAGAAATGTGGTAGCCATTGCATAAAAACAGAGCTTAAGTGGTGATGCAAAGGCGAGATCGAAATTAAGACCGCAGTAACATTTTACCGCTAAAAATCTAGCTTTCTGATATAATAGCGACGTAGCACACACCTAAGCTACAGTGACTAGCCCGAGGTGGTACAAGCATTTAAAGTTACATTAGAGTAAGTGCCTTAAACTAAGATTATTTCACTAGGGTGCATTCTCGAGAAGATAGTCATCTTTAGAAATAAGAACGGAAGAGAAAACTAGCATTGAATAAAGATTCACAAGTCTTTTTTTTTGCACTAATCTTTTTGAGGTAAACAGATGCCAAAAACCTACTTTTGTAAAGCCAGTTGGATTATTGCCTGCTCAAGAAATACAAGCGCTCCTTTTAAGAAGTAACCGCGTCCACCAGCCACTGTTGTTCCACGATCTCCGTCGAAACCATCAATCATAGCAACCAGATCAACCTATAAATTTTTTAGTCTAATTTGAATCACGTTTATCGATCAAAACTTACATGAGAATATTTCATCTTTCTCGTAACATCACCAAAAGTACGTTCTACCCGATTATTTTCCTCATCGTCAGAAACTGGGACGCTATGATGGACAATATTTCCTATCTGTATCAAATTCTGATGGCGTTCCGTTTCTAGTTTCTCCATTGAGATCTACAAGTGTGTTTCAGTCTTCTGCAAACTCTCTTACACAGAAATTTTCACCTTTGTTTCAGCCATTTTCTCATCCAAAATCATGCGCAGCTTCTTTATCTGCGTTACAGACAGACCCTGAAACGTTTGAATGAAAGGAAAACGAAATGTAAGAAACAAGAATATAAGCTTGCATTGAGGTCCTCAATCTTCAACGAATCCAACTTTGAAGTGATCGAAGCATCTATATTATCGTCAGTGCCGTGAGCTTCCTTTTTCTATAATAACAAGTCCAATTGAAGAGAAAAGATTTAAAGAGCCAAGGTTTACTACCTTCATCTTTTCACCAATTGCTTTGCTAAGCACGTTCTTCTGGCGATTGAAGACATCAAGAAGAAATCGTGCTAAATAAGTTTTCAAGATTAACTCAAAAACAGTTGTAATCTTACAAGCACCTTTCCTCCAAGCTTGGTCCAGTTCAATCACCTTGTCAACTAAGGCGGGGTCTTTGTAGCGATTTCTCTGCGAAGCACGAATGATTTCGGGGTTTCCACCTAGAAATTCAGAAAAATGGTGTTCGACACTGGAGAAAGCCGTCAATCAGCTTTGGGCAAGTAAATCAGTCGCAGTATGCAACGACAAACTTTACAATAAATAAAGGGAAAGAGAAATCAAAAGTTAAGAATCTTACTTACCCTTCTCTTCACGGAACAAATCCATATCAAGCACCATCTTCGTTTGCTATTATGCGCAGTACGCAATTACTTTTATTACCTGAAAGGTACTAAATTAGCCACCCAAGACAAGTGAAGAACACGAAGAAATCGCAAAAGCGAGGAGCATGAGGCAATTTGTGGATGTGGAAATAAATAGCATTGGAGCGCGATTTGATTCCAGAGCAGAGAAGTGGCGTCGACAGATTAGAAATTCTAAGAAACGAGAATCAAGCTAAATTAGCATATAATCTGAGTATTCTCAATGTGGGTTCATTTTTTTAACCTCAGAACGAATCCTTTTTCAATAAATTTGTTCATTGACGGATTGGTGGTAACGTGGTAATGCCGATTTGTTGAAGGAAGGAGAAGTTTG